TTCTTCTTCTTCCTCTCTCTCTCTCTCTCTCTCTCTCTCTCTCTCTCTCTCTCTCTCTCTCTCTCTCCCCTCTCTCTCTCCCTTTCTCCCTCTCCCTCTTTTTTGAAATAGTCTTGCTGTGAACCCAGGCTGGTCTCAAACTCACAACCCTCCTGCTTCAGCCTCCTGGGGGCTGGAATGACAGACCTGTACCACTACACCCAGCCAATATCTTCTTTTCAACCCCCAGCAGTGAACAGTGTCAAAAGCAGATCATAATGACCAGAAAAGACAATGCCTCAGATTCACTATCTAGCTCTGGATTTGTGGTAACTCTCCAGGACTCTATCACCCTGTCCCCGTCAAGGAACATGACATTCCACACATCCCACTGGTGCACTGCGCTGAGGATGCCACGCCAACCAGCCACACCTGGGGAGCTGAACTAAGCACGGCAGGAAATGACAAGTCCTGTGCATGTTCAGGACAGAGCACATTTGTTCCAGAGGTAGAAAGAGGACCCTGCAAAGTCTCAGCAGCCTCGGGGCTGGGGAAATAGCTCAGTAGAATGAGCACTTGCCTGGCAAGCGCAAGGGCCGGAGTTCAATCCCCAGTTCTGCCAACAAAACAAAACACCCCCAAGTCTTAGCAGCCTTAACCAATGACTCTTCCAAGGTCCGATGGCCAGTACCCCGCCCCCCCAGAAGACAAAGCACATGCTATTGCACCGTGCTCTTGGTACCTTCAAGGAAAAGGCACAATACATTCTAGACCCTTTTGGATCCTGAATTCGGAGTATACCAAATCCGACAACACTGCTTTTCCACCCACGAGGAACCAGTAACTAACATTCATTTTGTTGTTAAGACAGGCTCTCACCACGTAGTCCAAGCCGGCCTTGAACTCACTATGTAGCCCAGATTGGCCTTAAACTCATGGCGATCCTCCAGTCTCAGCTTCCTGAGCTGTGGGAAGCCAGGGCTTATCTCTAGGCATCCCCTCGAAGCCTCATGCGGTTCCAGGCGGGCTTTTCACCAGGTAGGTGATTGTTCTACTGAGCTATCTCCCTGGCCCAACTGGGAAGGGGTTTGGGAGGTCCATAGACCGAGGGTGTGTGATGCTGGGATTCAGGGTGAGAGCCTGGGGCTAAGGGCGCCCCTCCGTGGGTGTGAGCGCTGCCGCTAAGGGGGAGTAGCCTGGATGGAATGTAAGGGACAGAACAGAGCTGCTACCGTCGCCTGCTGCTGCCGCCTCCTGCCTGCTCTTCGGTGCCTCTCTGGAGCCAGCCCACTGTGCGCTGAAACCTCTACACTGGGAACCAAGCAAACCTTTCCTCCTTTTACTTCAGTCATCTGGTGCCAGCCCACAACAGGTCCAGCTCACCAGGATTGACCCCTGTCATGGCCCTGCCCTTGGTGCCTCTTTCTGATTCAGTGTTCTGGTTTACAGAAAGAAGGTCTGTCACCTCAGATCAAAGGGCTCATTTTACCATGACAGAGGTGTGACGACGGGGACCTGTTCCTTCCCTACAGTGTCACTCAAGGGTATGTGTCCTGTGA